GAGATATCTGTCCTCAACTGTACTCTCTCTCTTTCTCTCTCTCTCCTCTCTCGGCTAAGAGAGATATCTGTCCTCAGATGTAAGAGCTTCTGGTTCTGGACTTGGAGACTTATACCAGCAGGCATTCTCCTCCCTCCCTGTCCTCACGTTCACGGGGCTTCAGACTGAGTTTGAATTACACTGGCTTTCTGGTTTCTCTACTGGCAGACTGCAGATAGTGGGACTCATCCTCCATATTACATGAGCCAATTTTTATCATAAATAAATATTGGTTTTATCTCCCTGGAGAACCCTGATACACTATATACAGTAAATCCCAACTTATGAACAACTTTCACAGGTAGAACAGACTTTTCATTACAAACCCTGATATACCCCCAGTTCAGCTGGGGGTTATAAGTTGACCACCAGTTACCAATTTGCTACAGGTGCCATGATCTTTCAGTGAGGGGAAGAATGGTCCCTTCAGCAAATGATGATGAGACAACTGGAACTTTGTCTCTCTGGAGAACCCTGATACACTTTATACAGTAAATCCCAACTTATGAACAACTTTCGCAGATAGAACAGACTTTTCATTACAAACACTCATAGATGTGAACAAATCATGTAAGTTGTCCATGTGTCTGCCAGGCATGTGGCAGACACATGCTGCTGTGTGCTTACTGCAAAAGTAAAAATAGCTTATTTACAATATTTGTGTGTATTTATGCTTTACATTGTATATTTGTGTCAAAGCTGTCCAAGACTCACTTTTTTGGGCTTACCAATGAATCTGATTTACTGATGATCTCCCAGAATGGGACTTGTTCATAATTCAGGGACTTACTTTACAGAAAATCATAAAGAACCCACAAAAGTAAATGATAACTAATGAATGAACACAGCAAAGTTGTAGAATATAAAAGCAACCTGCAAAAATCAATTGTATTTTTACATATGTACTACCAGTGAACAATCTGAAAATGAAATTAAGAAAGCTATTCCATTCATAATAGCATTCAAAAATCTTAGGGATAAATTTAGCGAAAGAAGTACATGACCTACACATTAAAAACTCTAAAACATTGTTAAAAGAAATTAAACACATAAATAAATAAAATATTCATCAACCGAAAACTCAACAGTGTTCCCTAAATTGATCTCCAGATTTAAGAAAACCGTCATCCAAATTCCAATGCCAATTTTGCAGAAATGAACATACTGACCCTAAAATTTATGTGGAAATGCAAAGGACTACAGTAATCAAAACAGTCTTAAGAAAGAACAAAGAGGGCTTACTTTTCAATTTCAAAGCTTACTACAAAGCCACAATAATGAAGACAATGTGATATTGACAAGATAGATGTGTGGGTCAGTGGAACAGAAACAAGTTCATACATCTGTGGTGATTTAATTTTCAGCAGGGGTGCTGTGTTGGTTTGGGGGTTATTTTGCAAGGGGATTAATAATATAATACAGGACACATATTTTATATGATTATTTATAATAGTCACCCAAAGAATGATATACAAAAGAGTGCAGGAAATCTGTCCACACACTAAGACCAAGGAATCAAGCTGAGGGCCTGGATCCCATGGAAATGTCCTGCTTGAGTCCAGCTTAAGACCTAAAGCTCATAACAATGCCTCCCACGAATCCAACTGGAGGCCCAGAGCCCACAACAATATCTCATGCCCGCCTGTTTCATGGATCTGCGCTACAAAGGCCCAAAGGTCAGTGGTGGAATCTAAGAAGTCTGTGCCAGCAGGATAAAGGAGGTGTGCTAGCAGACTGAGGGTCTGCACTGGAGCCAGGAAGTGATGCTCAGAAGAACCAGAGCTCCCCCGAAAGGTACCATACCCATCCTCGGCAACAGTGAGGTCTTGAGCTCCTCCAGTGATCAAGATGGCCGAGTTCCCATCAGGGAAGCCAACACAGCAAGCTTCTCCAGGAGACCAGCAGTGCATCATCTTCCCCTCTGGAGCCAGGAAGCAATGCTCAAAGTGAGGATCATAGCTCCCGCAAAGTGAACCAAAGCCATTCTCAGTGCCAACGAGGTCCTGAGCTCCTTGGAGGAGGAAAACAGCCAAGTTCATCAGGAAAGCCAGCATGACAAGCTCTTCCAAAACAACCAACAGCTCCTTATAGCTTCTACCAGCTTGTAACAGCCTTTTTCAGTTCCCAACAGCCTCTTTAGTTCCCAAAAGCCTTTCTTCTTCTTCTCCAGGTCTGCTTCTTATACGGCTGGCAACAGTCCCCAGGTGGCCCTCCCACACCCAGCACCACACTTACTCAGTTCAGCTGAGGGTTATAATTTGACCACCAGTTATCAATCTACCACAGGTGCCATGATCTTTCAGTAGGGGGAAGAATGGTCCCTTCAGCAAATTATAAGACAACTGGATATGCACATACAAAGAAAAAAAGAAAAAGAATAAAAGAATGTGGATCCCTGCCTTACACCATTATTATGACTCATGTCTAGATGTTCTTCCAAAGTCTCAGGTGCTCATAGGTGGAACTTTTGGAAGGTGGCTGGATCATGAGTGTGTGATGCTGGATTAGGGTGTGTGATACTGGGATTCATAAGTGTGATAACTAAATGGGTTTAGCCTGGTTCTGGGTGTGGATAATGGAAGCCCCACCCTGGCTATGAATGGCACCAATCAATAGGCTTACAGCCTGGATGGAATATAAAGGGAGAGAGGGAACACAGGCTTGCTGCTGCTTTTTTTTTTTGTACCAGGAACTGAACTCAGGACCCTGTGCTTGCCACTCAGGCGCTTGTGCCACTGAGCTATACCCCCAGCTTGCTGCTGCTGCTTGCTGCTTTGTTGCCTCCTGCCTGCTTTGCCATGGACTGTTTCTCCTCTGCGATGCCTCTCTGCCATGCCACCCTGCTTTGGAACCAGCTGATTATGAACTGAAATCTCTACAAACTGTGAGCTGAAATAAACCTTTCCTCCTTTACCTTGTGTGTGTTGGGTATTTTGTCTCAGCAACAAGAAAAGTCATGAAGAAAACCATAAAGAAAAATTAATCATATACAAAAAGTCCTAAGAGCTAAAAATATAAAACTCAGAAGGAACATAGTTGCAAATGTATGATCTTGAATTAGGTAACATTTTCTTAGACATGACATCAAAAGGCACAAGGAAGTAAAGAAAAAATAGATTGGTTGAATACTATCAAAACTAAAAACATTTACAAAACAAAGCATTATGAAGATAATGACAACCCATTAGAATGAGAGAAAATATTTGTGACTCATATATCTGATAAGGCTCTGGTACCTCCAATCTATAGAGGACTCCTAAAACTCAACAATAAAAAGAAAAAAGACTTGGTTTTTAAAGGAGGAGATTTGAATAAACACTTCCCCTAAGAAGAAACTTAGATTCTAAGAGAGAATTTAGACTCTCATACAGGTGGCACAAGTACTATGAGAAGAAATTTGGCAATTCCTTAAAAAGTTAAACATAAAGTTATGAGATAACCCAGCAATTCCATTCTTGGCTATATACCTTAGATTAAAAACATATGTTCACACAAGAGTGTACATAGGTGTTCATAGCTGCATTTGCCATAATAACAAAAAAGTGGAAGCAACCCAAATGTTTACCAACTGATGAATGAATGAATTGAAAAAATGTGTTATATGCATACAGTAGAAAATTATTATTATAAAAAGTAATAGAATATTTATATGTATAGTACTGCAATATGGATATGTCTTAAAAGCATTATTCTAAGTGAAAGAACAGATACTACAGGCTACATATTGTCTGTTTCCATTTATGTGTAATATCCAGAATAGGCAAATTGAGAGAAACAGAAAGTAGATTGTGGGATATCAATGTCAGAAGAACTGGAATGAATGCTAACAAGTACAGAAGTTTTTGTTTTGTTTTGATTTTTGAGGTGGAGGATGTCCTCCATTTAGATAGGGTGATGGTTATACCACCTTGTGAACATACTAACAACAATAAATCATATGCTTTAAACTGGTGAATTTTATGGAATTTGAGTTATGCATTCAAATGCAAAAAAGCCATGATTAGAGGAAGGGTCCGAATTGTGTAATAGATAAGGGAGTCATTCATATAACCAGTTATTTAAGGGATGAGGGTAGATATTCTATAGCGGTGGTGGTGAACCCATGGCACATGTGCCATAGCAGGCTGTTTATATCACTGGAAGCTCTAAAAGTTTTGCCATCACTGCTGTACAGTGATGCTGCCCCACAGAAATTTTTTGCAATGATGTAAATGTTCTGTATCTATACTATCCAACTGAATGTTTAAACATACTAATTATATCATATAACAGTCCGAAAAGCTTGACCAAATTGTCAAGGTGCTTCTTTTGAGACGGCTAAAAAACAGTGACTGTGGTGTACTGGCTTAGGATAATTCCTTAATCTTGCTACACCTATGCCTCCTTACCTTTAAAATGGTAACAACAGATTTTATTTTGTTTTAAAAGAACCAAATAGTGCAAGTGCAAGACAATTAGTACCTGCTGCACTTATGGGGCTGGAGGTCATTCCCAGTGCATTCTGTGTGCCCAGAATATGTGCTTCTGAGGACAAGACTATGCAAATAGTACTCTTGGCATAGTTACAAGGGTATATGTTTGTAAAGTCTTTCCTGGAGCTTCATCAAATGTAAATTATTTTCCGTTCCCCAAGAAAAAGACCCTCAAACTCATCAACTTTGATATTTAGATATTTCAGAAGTAGCCTTAGAACAATGTGGAGTTAAAGTTGTCTCTTGTTATTAAACAGAATAGCCACAGCATCCAGGTGTGACTGTGAAATGTCACCATTTGGCTCCTCCCATTACCTCTCCCCAACCCCAACACACCATCAAATAACTGTGTGTAAGAAAAGAGATTTCTGTCTCAGAAATGGCTTTGAGCTCCTGCCTAGCTTGTATTGGACTTACTTGTCTGGTGTGTAGGGATAGGCCAGTGGAAGGACCAAAGATAAAGATAATGAAGTCTGTCTTTCTTGTCAGTGGTGTGGTGCATCAAAAAGCTGATTGGCGCAGCATCCATGAGAAGATATGTCAGCTCCTGATTCCACTGCGCACTTCCATGCCCTTCTATAATTCAGAGGAAGAACGGCAGCATGGCTTGCAGCAGCTGCATCAGCGGCAGGTAGGACCTATAGGGACTGGGGTTGGGGTTAGCTCGTGGGTACGGTGAAGTTACCCCAGATAAAGGGTGAACTGTGTTGTGATCACTAAATTGTAACCTCAGTGAGGGCAGAGGCTTTGCTTTATATATTTTTGTCCTCAATTTTATTCAGTTAGTTGTTTCCGCATATACTGAATGTTCATTGTTTTAGTTTGCTAGAACTCCTATAACATGATACCACAGACTGGGTGGCTCAACCCATAGAGATTTATTTTCTCATGGTTCTGGAGAAGTCCATGATCAAAGTGTCCGCTGGTGCAGTTTCTTCTGAGGCCTCTCCCCTGACTTGCGGCTGGCTTCTTTCTTGCTGTGTCCTTGTATGGTTGTGTATGAGCATGCATCCCTCAGTGTCTCTGTGTGTGTACTATCTCCTTATAAAGACACTGGCCAGCTTAGGTTAGGGACCACCTTGTCATTCATTTTAACTATATCACCTCTTTAAAGACACTTCTCCGAATACAGCCATATCCCAAAAGACTGAGAGTTAGAGTTTCAGCACATCAATTTGGGGGAGAGCACAATTCAGCTCATAGCATCCACCTGTGTCAAGTACTGTGCTAAGAGCTTGGCCACATACTAGGAGGATAGAACTAGTACATAAATAGAGGAGATCTCATAAAAGTAACTCCAATTGTTATGCTATAGGTAGCATCTTAGTTACTATAAAAATTAGCATTTTATGAGCCTTAAACTCTAAACACTAGGTTTATCAACTTTGGTGTTGTACTTTGATAGCAGCCTTAGAACAGTGTAAAGTTATTTCTGATATTAGCTGAGGAGGATAATTCCAGAAGGAAAATGAAATGTTTCTCTCAAAATTAGCTCAAATAGACAGAAAATTTTAGACCAGCCTGACATATCTATAACTTTTATAAACATAAATTTCATAGAACTATAATTAAAATATATTTGTTCATCTAACAGCTTTATATTGTACACTTATAATAGTTCAAGGACTTAGTTCAAGAACTAAGTTCATGCCAAAGACTGAACTAAGATGAAAAGACGCATGTTCCTGGATATTGAAGAACTCAGAGTCCAGAGCTACCCTTTTTATGTCATCTGTTTTGCAAGCTCACTACGAACCTTCAATAGTTTGAATGGCTTATTTCCAGATAAGGATGTTGACCTTATCGCTAGATGTATCTGTGCCCACCTTTACCTTTATATTTAGATCGTTTCTGATGCGCTATTTCTCTCTACTACAGAAGCACTTGATTGAATTCTGCTACATGGTTGCCCAGAAATATCTTTTTGAAGGAAAACATGAAGATGCTGTGCCAGCAGCTTTGCATTCGCTTCGCTTCCGCATGGCCATGCATGGCCTGAGCTCAGTAGAGCTTGTGCCCGCTTACCTGCTGTTGGCTGAGGCCAGCCTTGGTGAGTGGAACTGACTTAAGCCCTTAGGAAGTGCTGTATTGAGCCTTACCAACAACCAAAGTGTCTGGGGGCACCAAGGCACTTTTCATGTAAGAGCAGAGTTGTGAAGTTTGGCACAAGAGGGGGAAGAAGATGTAACACTTCTGGTTACAACTGACAGAAATCTACTCAAGCTGGCCTGTGTAAAAGGAGGAAGTTAGGATGCTGAAGTATAGTAAGGGAGTTGAAGCTTCATGAGGCAGTAGCATTGGAATACTGTATGAAACCAAGACTGGTGCTCTCGGTATCTCTCTTGGGCCTTATTTGTTATCTCTGCTCCTTTCTGAGTATCTGCTTTGTTTCTCCTCTCTGCAGGGCAGGTGGGGTCAGGGTGACATGGTTCAGAGATAAAGTAACCCATCATTATAATGGGTGGGGCAGTATTGACAGTGGGGAGCACAGGCTTAGTAGATGCTCGTGTTGTGGCTACTACAAGAGGAGAAATGGAATTTTGATAGAATTTAGCATTCTTGAACATCAACAGTATTTTAGGCCCTGAAATACTACTTTATGCATCTTAATAACCATCGTTTTAATTTTCTAAATGCTGGGGATGTAATTCAGTGATAGAGCCCTTACCTAGCATATATAAGGCCCTAGATTCAATCCCTAGCACTGCAAAAAAAAGTTTTTTAGTAAGACTGTTGGAAGTACAGTGTATGCCCCCTTCCCCACCCCTGAGCCATCTGAGAGTGAGTTACTTACTTGATGTCATCTTTAGAATTCTTCAGTGTATATAAGTTCTTTTTCATAGGCATAATATAACTTTATCTACTATTGTCTGCTAAGAAGACCCCACTCAGGTTTCTCCAATTTTCCCAGTAATATCTTTATAGCCAAAAAAGTTACAGAATCAGAAAATGTTCAGAATGTTCAGGTTCAGAATTAGTTTTAATTTTGTTGCTATATCTCTTTAGTTGTCATTCTGGAATAATTGATCGGTCTTTCCTTGCCTTTATGACCTTTATGACATTTAAAGATCATAAGCCAGTTATTTTATAAGGCACCTCTCAGTATGGGTTTGTCTGCTATTTCCTCATCCCTGGATTTAGGGTATGAAGTTTTGGCAAGAATATCACAGAAGTGATGTTCTATTCTCATTCTATCCTCTAAGTTGCAAATGTTTTCAATACAGATGATGTTCATTTTATTTTATTTCTA